ACCTGGAAACATCACAAACGAGAGGTCTGGGTTCCAACTCCATAGGGCCGTTAACCACTACAACGCGACCGACACAAAACGATGGTGATTTACACCAAACCTGGAAACATCACAAACGAGAGGTTCAGCTGGGTTCCAGGTGAGTCTCTCAAAAAACCAAATTAGTTCGCAAATGAGTGCATATTCGCTGCACCAAGTTTCCTTTCAAAAACCGAGCAAATAAAACGAAATAAAAATAAGCCACTAAAATGCAGGCCTTTGTGGCCGACTTTAATAACTCCAAAATTAACCTGAACAGCATTAGTGTCTGCGACAAATGCACTCATATGCAAATCAGTTTGGTTTTCACGGGAGACCCAAGTGAATTTCTCGTTTATGATGTTCTTCTGTTGAATGTACTGCACAAAGTCCGTCTCACGTTTCAGTTGGTACGATATTCGAGACATCGCAGTATATTTTCATGGAGTACAATTAATTGTCTTCAGCTGGTGTTCTTTCTGAACAGTAATGGCGGCTCGTCGTAACTTTACCCGGTTCAAATGACTGCGGATATCACTGGCATCATGTTTAACGGTTGTCAGTCTGTTTCATACCATTTTGCTGAGGACCATACTGACTGATACTGGTGTACTTTCCAGTCAAGCCAAAACAACAAAAATAGTTCCGCCGGAGTTGATGGTATTGTTGAGATGGTTAACATAGGCCTTAAACATGATCTCGATTTATTTCGGTGTACTGTAATTAATGTATGATAGCGGTAAACGAAACTGCATGAAAAAGTCGTGTACGTCTAGTGGCTTGTGCTGTGCTAATTCGAAAGCAGTGACATAAGCTACTGTGTGGGCGTCCACCTGGAAATAAGTCATTCAAAAGAAATTGTTGTCGAATGCATCTACGATTCTGCATTACTATTACATAGTGCACCGAAAAGTGCAGATGTGGCTCAGCTGAAGGTACATTTAGACGGAGGCAACGACCGAGCGTAAGATGACTCAGCCGAAGATTAGCTGGCCTAGACAAATGAAATGCATCTGGCTAAGCCCGGAACACCTGAAAACTTTGGGTTAGAATGAATCCCTAGAATGCGCAGATTTACCCATTGGAAGGTTATGGAGGATATTTATTGATGTCAGTCAAATCCGACCCGTGAGATCGTCTGCTTGGGTCTATTTATCGGTGTCGGTTAACCGCATCGACAAGCTAATCATTTCCCCCTTATTCGAGATGGTACCAACTTTGGTAATATTGGTAGGCGGTTGAGTGGGTTCGCTAAACTGAATGAGTTAACGGTTGCGGGAGAACGAATGCACACTCGACTAGTAGTCCATTCCACCTCCATCGACACAACTGATTAAATTTGCTAGAGATAAATGGAGATCTGCACCCTTACTGTAAAAAAAGATTATGCGGAATGATTTAGCTCGTGGCCGTTGCGTGTGGCAGCTCACCTGAATGGCTGATAAAGGTACTGTTGGTAAAACCCACAATTCAGAACAAGCTCCGGTGCCAGCTATGCGTAAAATTGTTTAGAACGAGTTTGGAGTAGGATTAAGCCTTTTTCGTGCGCTGGAGTTCAAACTACGTCAGTTATGGACATGAGGCCGTTAAAGCATATTTTTTCGTTCATGCCATCCTCGGTTCGATTCAAACCATAGTCGTCAGTGAATGGAAAAGTATAGATGTACCAGGCTAAAAACAAAAGGTAAACTCCAGCTGTCCTATTCTGAAAACACCACAATTGAGAAATAGAACCCCTCAAAAGTGACTAGTTTTGACGGCTCCATTGAAGATTCTGCTGAATTTTAAAGCCCTTGATAGACGTAACGTTGACCTGGATCTGAGGCTGCATTTGGAAACGAATTTTGCCATACATTGGCATCCAAAGGGACAAAAACATGACTGTCGATGAATTGCCAATTTTCAGCTAGGTAATCAATGATCTTAAAGACGAATCCAGAGTACACAGCAGTAAAGTCTAAACTGCAGACGATTTTAAATGCACAACGTTCCAGCAGAATTAGAAAAGCATATGAGAGCCGAAATGAGAGAAGTAGCACGCAGAAGCCATATCCTTAATCCATCGAAAAAGTGCTGGTAAAAGTGAAGGTATCAGATCATGTTGGAGAAGGGGCAGCACTATGGGTATTGCGTGCAAAGATAAGTTTGACCGGTGAAACAGTTTTGTGCAGAAAAAGAGGGTGGGGCATTTTGTGTCAAAACACTGTCAGCCGGCCCCGTCATACCTCGAGCTTATAGATGGTTTCATTGGTGAACACTGGCCGGGCTGTGTTGCCCATCTTTGCTTGCTTGCAGGCGAGCATATATTTAGTCCTCTCAGTCCTACAGAAGTTGCTAGCGTGTGGGTCCGTAGTATCAGAAAACGCATCTCATACGCAAGTATCATGTCGACCAGTCTCATGGAGCGTTTTACGTAACTTATAAGTTGTGACAGTTCTGGTTGCAGTCTGACAGATGAGGTCAATACATGAATCTATAAGGGTTGGGTCGCGTTTGCTAGCTTGAGACACTTATGGCGTCAAAGCGGTATATCCTTGAATCTCAAGGGATCTGTGCATCGGGCTAGAGTACAAGCTGTTTTTTCGTGCTTTGGGTTAGAATGAATCCCTAGAATGCGCAGATTTACCCATTGGAAGGTTATGGAGGATATTTATTGATGTCAGTCAAATCCGACCCGTGAGATCGTCTGCTTGGGTCTATTTATCGGTGTCGGTTAACCGCATCGACAAGCTAATCATTTCCCCCTTATTCGAGATGGTACCAACTTTGGTAATATTGGTAGGCGGTTGAGTGGGTTCGCTAAACTGAATGAGTTAACGGTTGCGGGAGAACGAATGCACACTCGACTAGTAGTCCATTCCACCTCCATCGACACAACTGATTAAATTTGCTAGAGATAAATGGAGATCTGCACCCTTACTGTAAAAAAAGATTATGCGGAATGATTTAGCTCGTGGCCGTTGCGTGTGGCAGCTCACCTGAATGGCTGATAAAGGTACTGTTGGTAAAACCCACAATTCAGAACAAGCTCCGGTGCCAGCTATGCGTAAAATTGTTTAGAACGAGTTTGGAGTAGGATTAAGCCTTTTTCGTGCGCTGGAGTTCAAACTACGTCAGTTATGGACATGAGGCCGTTAAAGCATATTTTTTCGTTCATGCCATCCTCGGTTCGATTCAAACCATAGTCGTCAGTGAATGGAAAAGTATAGATGTACCAGGCTAAAAACAAAAGGTAAACTCCAGCTGTCCTATTCTGAAAACACCACAATTGAGAAATAGAACCCCTCAAAAGTGACTAGTTTTGACGGCTCCATTGAAGATTCTGCTGAATTTTAAAGCCCTTGATAGACGTAACGTTGACCTGGATCTGAGGCTGCATTTGGAAACGAATTTTGCCATACATTGGCATCCAAAGGGACAAAAACATGACTGTCGATGAATTGCCAATTTTCAGCTAGGTAATCAATGATCTTAAAGACGAATCCAGAGTACACAGCAGTAAAGTCTAAACTGCAGACGATTTTAAATGCACAACGTTCCAGCAGAATTAGAAAAGCATATGAGAGCCGAAATGAGAGAAGTAGCACGCAGAAGCCATATCCTTAATCCATCGAAAAAGTGCTGGTAAAAGTGAAGGTATCAGATCATGTTGGAGAAGGGGCAGCACTATGGGTATTGCGTGCAAAGATAAGTTTGACCGGTGAAACAGTTTTGTGCAGAAAAAGAGGGTGGGGCATTTTGTGTCAAAACACTGTCAGCCGGCCCCGTCATACCTCGAGCTTATAGATGGTTTCATTGGTGAACACTGGCCGGGCTGTGTTGCCCATCTTTGCTTGCTTGCAGGCGAGCATATATTTAGTCCTCTCAGTCCTACAGAAGTTGCTAGCGTGTGGGTCCGTAGTATCAGAAAACGCATCTCATACGCAAGTATCATGTCGACCAGTCTCATGGAGCGTTTTACGTAACTTATAAGTTGTGACAGTTCTGGTTGCAGTCTGACAGATGAGGTCAATACATGAATCTATAAGGGTTGGGTCGCGTTTGCTAGCTTGAGACACTTATGGCGTCAAAGCGGTATATCCTTGAATCTCAAGGGATCTGTGCATCGGGCTAGAGTACAAGCTGTTTTTTCGTGGGACCGTGAAAAGTGATCCCTATGAACAGCGGAACTGAGACGTCCTCAGGCGTTCGACAACCGTCGTCTCAGAATCATAGCTAGTGTGGGTTTGTGTCATCGATTTCGTAGTAAGGTAATTAGAAAGCGAGTGTTCAGTTGTGTAACAGGGACTTCCATCGAAGAATATGCCCAGCGGCAGAAACTGGGTTTGTTAAGTCATGTATTGCACATGCCCAACCATTAATGCCGAACAAGAGCGCTGCTTTCCGTACCCAATTAAGAGTGGCGGAAGCAGAGAGGTGGCCAACCCTTGAGCTGGCAGAAGGGTATGAAAGAAATTACTAAACGTTGCTGTGCTGTCGCTGCGACTCGCTTTCCAGGATGGGAGCCACGTTATCCTCACTGCGCGTGGTTGGAGACACCGCAATATATGGTAGCGATATCAAATCAATGGCATTCTTGTTGTCAGTTTCTACCCAGATTGCCTGAATGAAAGTCTGAGGGTGTAGTCACCTCTGAGTGACTGTGGTAGGCTTGCACTAAGTTCCTTCCCAACTCACTTTTCTTCAGAATAAGGCTTTGCTTTAAACACAGATGTTACAATGATGATGATGGTGATAGTTCTTGCCCAACCTATCTGAAACTATGAAATCCGATCACCTGAAGCTTTGGACTTGGTCTCATCAAAACTTACCTTCAGTGCATATTCTTGTTCACAATTGGGTGATGACAAGACCAGGTATCTGAAATGCTGGTCGGATATTTTGCCGATTACGCTCTGTATATTCCTGTGGTGTCATATTATAGATGATTCCTAGTCACCCGTAAAAGAACAATGACTGCAAGCTATTCTGTATTCACTTCATATGGGCACATCCTGAAATTGCAAGGTTCCGTAGGGAAGGAAATTTTCTACAAGACAAGCGTGCTTAGGTACTTCGGGTGGACAGGAATGGAATTTCCCCCTCCTAACATTGGACCACCGTGTCCAACTTGTCTGTAAATTATACGTCCACCAATGTTCAATGTGACTTAATACATTGTCACCGTAACGCTGTCTAGCCGCACGTCCAGGGTTGGGCATTGCCATCGTCCACAATCCATTGAGTGCGATTTGGGTTGGGTTTTCCAATCCGTAAGTATTATCTGCTATGATCCATGGCAAACCATAAACTTCGACATGCCAAAAGTTGCACTGGATACTGTATGCAAGGCAATGTTGCTTATAGTGTGCAGCACATTTCTCAATATCATCTCCGTATTCTGTATTGTAGATTACTGGGCCCAGCTTCAGGTTGAATTTCTGCTCAAGATCATTTGCGATCGGTCCACGTACTAGATCATGTTTGTAGACATCCCAATAAATATCCGCATCTCTTTCCCATGGTAGGATTCCTCCATATATTTTAACGGCTCCAACGTTCGTCCCTTCAGCAGTAAAGGCCGATACGTTATAAGCAGCGGTCAGGTTTAAAAATGCCTTCACACAGTAAGCCAAGTCTTCCAAACAACATCTTGGCGCGATCACACCCGCAACAACGAACTCACTGCACTGTATATCTACTTCTTCACAAGACCACGTATGTTCTACTACTCCTGCTAACATGATTCGGTCGATTTTCCACTGGGATGCTATGGGAACCCAGAGAGATTTTGGAACCTCAACCACCCCATGACCACGCGATGACTGGTGTCCGGCCACGTGGAACAATACATCAACGCAAGCTACTGAGTGGTACGCGTCCCGATTATGCGAATGCGCAAGGTGCAGGAACATATCTACAAAAGACATCATACCTTCCATTTTGGATGCATTCATGATTCTTTTGAACAAATTTCGTTGAATAAGGAAGGGTGAGGCGAGATAATCACAATATGCGCATGAATGGGAAGAAAGATCATGTCCTGGTTGAATGCGTATCGTGAAATTCCGCACATTTGTCTGTTGGAAAAAGGATTGCAGCGAGGATTTTAGGATATAGTGGATGGAAAATAATCGTGCACAAAAAACGACGCATCTATCTCAGCGAACGTGTAACACGTACAGACACCAGGCAAAGACCCTCGTTCACAAAATCCTAACGCAATTACGACTGAGTGGTAGCCGTATACAATTAAAAGAATACCCCGCCAATGCTCACTCTTCCCTTGTAAATCAGTGGTATCCGATTGGTGCCATAAACAGGACTAAGAAAGCACATATATCACTGTCATAAATACCCTCCTTCAGAAATATGAACAGAGCTGTTTATTCATATCCGTTCTTATACTCTTTAAAACGATGAATTCCACCCTATTTTTTAACCTGATAGTTCGCTCTACTTTGTCGCGAGAATTGAATTACGCGCAACTACTATGTTTATATTGGTTTCATCTAGATGGTGCCTGAACGCAATGCGACCCCATATAAAACGATTGCACCCTTCAATAAGCATGACGGTTGTTTCAAGCTGTCCGACAGAACAGCCCTAGCGAAATACCTCACTTCTATCAAAATATATGAAGACGGAGTACAGTTACGAGTGAAACTGAAGTATGGCGGGAGCACTATTCAATGGTTGAAAAAGAACAACCGAGCGAGCTGGTTTTATGGTTGCTTCAAGTTTGTGTAAGCGTGGGGTCTGTTTACTGAAGAAAATGAACGAATTAATATACGCTATTTTGCACTATATCAAAAGAAAAACACCCATTCAAGCCCTATGGTATAGGTGTGTCAGTCACATAGTCACCTTGTGTATTTGAAGTTATGGGTAACGACCGTGTCAAGTGTCTGACATTCACCTCCAGGTCGCTTAGATAAAAAAGACACGGAAGCTTCGTGTTTTAGTTTTGATGTAGAATAAACAGATTAGTCACGTCAGGACAGAACGAAAACTGTTCATATGAAAAGGACGTTGAGGCAAATTTACCAAAATCTGAAAATTACTCACAAGAATTAGGGCTCACGGTTTTGAAGAATGCTTGGCCTGAATTTAGAAATACCGGTGGAGGTGGTTTCCACAAGCTGCGAATATAGAATGGCGAGTACTAAAAGACACCGGTGTTGATGAGAATGGTTGCCTTTTCCAGGTAGGAAACAGTAAACAGTCTCTCCAATGAGGAGAGTTTCTGTGAAATCCTATTTGGAGTGATTACTGATTACGTCAAGGCTGTCCAAGTGATGAGAATTTACTTGTCAGCTCAAGAACAAACCTTGACAAAAGCAGATGGAACTGTTTCCCCCTGCGGGGTACTCAGCCTTCAAAGATATCCATATCCATTTCTTAATCTTCACTAGCATCCCCCTCTATAACGTACTCATTTGACGGTGTAAATAAATGTATAAAATTCATTATGTGAGCCCTACACTTTGTTGGCAAGGAATTTTGCTACCTATTACTCATCTCGAGAAAACATTTTCGCATGACCATTAAGCAACATAAATTTATTCGAGGTTTGGCTGATTTAATGGCTCGCTTCCATTCTTCATTGCTTTTGAGAGGTAACATTACTGCAATCTGTTTTGTTCATAGCATGCTATTCGTGGAGTACGTGGCGAACAGTTTTCAGACGTATCTTCACAGTGAATAGAGGATAGCGAGTGTAATGTTCACACTGCTTTTTCCACGGACAAAAATTGAGAACAAAAACTCTGGTGATGAGTGTAAATAAGCTAAAGTAAACAGTCGAGTTACGATTTCTAGACAGCTAGTTTTAGGACTTTGTCGAACTGTCTTGAATAGGAATATATCTTGGATTATGAACATTTGTAATACAGGGTAATCAGTTTTTGAGTGGATCAACGAGTAACATGGAGACATTGGACTTTTTCCAATCTAGAGTACTGAAAAGTCACCTCCCAGTGAAATCGGCCTCACAGGACAGACCTTAGTATGTAGTTTATGGTGTCACTTCCCTAAGGGGTTTACATTTATGAATCGTCATCCAACTTTTTTCTTGTGCTTTTCAACCGTAGCCTTGTAGTATTTGTTGGATTTCCTTCCTCGGAATTTCATCAGAAAAAAAATCTGGATACCTACGAAAGTAGATCAATCTTAGTCACTTACCTGATAGCAACCAGCATACCATCGACCTTCAGGTTCGAGACGAACTGCTCCACCAACGATATCAACCTGTAGACTGTTCATCACGCGTAGCATTCGGTCTAGATCAGCATAGTGGGTAAATTCCACCATATTTCTCCCCACCAAAATGTATTTTGTACTTTGAATGTCCGACAGACGTATCCAGGTCGAGGCCACATCCTTTAAACCGTAGTGAACCTGCACTCCGTTTAGGACTTCACAAACTCCTTGAGGTGTGATGGCCATTTGAATAGATATGTCTGGATAGACAGCACGTATGCGGTGCACCAGGTGCTCGCCTTGCATGCATGATTCCGCATAGATCAAAATCTCCACTAAATGCGTGATGGGAATGCGATCGCAGGGAATTGTCCTGTAAACATGCTCAAAATCGACATGGCCTTCTTTTGGATTGCCCCAATACTCATCACACACTTCTTTTCGCTCTGTACTATTTTCTGCTTCATTCTTCAGCTGTGCATCTTCCGTTTTATCAATCTTCAACTCGGGTTCCAATAACTGTAGACTATCCTTTATCAATTTTCGTGTCTCAGCGGAACGAGCCAGACGGTACGCTTTGGTGAGCTTCTTTTGGGCGACGGTCAGTCTGCGTTCGATACTGTCAAAGTCAAATCATAAACAGATTTCCTAAGACGGAAGACCTGGTAAAGTCTGCACAATAGCTACTACCACACGTTTCGGTGGCACGCACTCCAAGTGAGCCTCTAAAAGTCTTTGGAGGTGCATTTTGGTGGTGAATTCACTAGATTTCTAAGGCTCACTCTCTTGGAGGTGAACATAGTAAATTGAATGTTATTAAATTTTCGGGTCACACTGAACCACACTAGGAAAGCAGTCAGCGGAGCTTCAAGGACGTTTAAGTCTTGGACGCAATAAATACACCATAAGCTTTCGTTCTGATCGGCCAAACGCGCTGCATTTTAGGTTCGAATCAATGTTATCATAGCGATGATAAAATTGACGCAACAGAGCATTCCCTGTCGGCACAACCGAACCTAGTAGCAAGAAGGCCATTTGAAACAAGCGTCCATGTACCCTTGACGGCATCACCAAAACAGTAGGAATTTCTTGAAAATGTAGGCCGACCTCAAAATGAAGTATGGGGATAACTTCGTTGAAAAAGAAATCTAAAATATAGCCAAAGTGGACATTGCTACTGGAGTACTCAAGTAATTGTGAATCATCGGTGATTAATTCCCCAAGATTAGTTCTGTTATCAACATCGAAAAGCAAAAGTACAAGGAAATGCTCCTCAACAGCTGCAGAAAGTTCACGAATATCTGATAGCAGATCAGCAATGGCTGATTCGGGGAACCATCTTTTCCCAAAAGTGATAAATTCCGTAATGAGAGCGCAGCCTGACCACTGAAATTTGACTGCAACGTCCGAATAGGCCACAAAATGAAGTTCAGCTGCTGTTATATCTGCTGATTCGCCAATCTGCTGTATCTGACTGCTGACCGCTCCAGTGCCTAGTGCCTGAGAAAAAAGGCTCACAGAAGCAAACACAACAGCTATATTCCGAACAAGCGAGTGCAAGAGCGAGTGCGTGCGAGTGCTATTTACTGGATGGACACTGCCTGAACTTGGTCCAATGCTGACGCACACGGTCTGGCTTTGGTAGGAGGCTGTGACGCGCTGCATATTGAGGGGGCGTTGCCTGTCTGGTCAGCATCTGGCGGAGTTGAGGGTCTCAGTAGACTTCGCGCACTCAGTGACTGCTTTCAGGAATCTAGCCTTGCTGATATCTGCTATTTAAGTTCCCCGCTTATTCGTGGTGACGTACTCAGATCGTGTCTAAACAGTGTTGTTGGGATAAATTACGTTTTGATAAGCAGGGTTTTTATTTTTGAGCTAAAAGGTAAAAGGCTATACTGTTTTCGAAACAACTTCTCTGAGCTACTTCCAAAAACAGTTTTCAATCCCTCCGGAACTCTAATTTTGGGGGTTTCTGATGACATTATCACTTTATTTCGAAAGGAACAGCCATATGTTTATGGGCTATCGGTTGACTTTGAGAAATCCACTTCCACATCACACTCGGATAAGAATCCAAACAAGCCTATTCTTGTCGCATTGATGAGTTTTGATTTTGATCTGTTTTTTCTCCTGGATCATGTTTTAGTTTGAAAAAGAGAGATTCTTTAAGGGCGTGGTTTTAATTCGGTTCGCAGGTGATATTGAGAGTGATGATGAAAACCATGTAACATATGGTGACCGTACCTGGTAAGCCTGACTTTTTCCTCCGCCATACTGACACATTGCAAACACCACGATTTTTCTTGACTGTGTCGCGTCGACGTCCCATTTTCATGTATTCTCAGGCTAGATTTAGAAGATATCGTTAATGAGGTACTGACAGATTTCTACGCCAAACGGCATGATATAAGTTGGTCCCATTCGTTCATAAACAGTCTAGCTACGAAGCATTCCAGCACACAATGCCGAGTCCCTATCAGCATGAAGTGTGTGTAGTTCTACGTTTAGCAAAATCTGGGAAACTATGACCTTAACAGTCCACCTCATGATATCTGCTTGTCATTCCAGAGACATCCGTAAGCTTCTTTTTTCAGTCACACAGTATGAAACGCACTTGAGTGATTTTCCGTTCACATAAAATGGTTCACCTCTCTTCAAACTGTGAGTAAAGACCGGGTGAGCTATCTGTTCCGAGTAGCATATGTCCGATGCACATTATGATTTGAAAACGTTGAATGCGTTTCGGTCGGACCCACAAATACATACTTCGTGATTACTAGTGGCTGTTTAGATTAACTATTTGTGTATACGCTCTGTAGTCATCATTTAGAAAATATGGTTATTAGTAAACGGTCGTTGAATTACGGTTATTACTATTCTAAAAATATACAACGTTTGTGAGGGTCCCCAGTTATTTCATGGCACAAACCGAAAAGAGTGAGATATAGCTGAGCATTTCCTGTTGTCTGCTTTGTGAGTCCCAACCAAGACATAAAGCTTTGTAATCCGAAGGCTATGCGCACAAATGACTGTTGTAATGTAAACAAACATGAATTTTATTGAATTCCGTCCTTAACTATCACTGTAGGCTCCGACAAATCAACAGTAAATTTCGGATGAATATCACCTGATTTACTCGTCGCTGTGGACATTCCGATTTTGATGTCAAACTAGGACACTCAGTCTTCATACATGGGCTCAGTACTTGAACGGAGGAACCTCTGAGTTGATGACAGTGGACGAATTTAGGAAAGTGAAAGTGATTTTTGTCGAACGGTGGAAAGACTAATAGGCCTACAGATTGTCACATGTGGGTGGATTGGGTTTGGGAGGGATGGGCAAGTACGCGTGGAAAGTGCTCTGTAGTCTGGCGCAAACATCTAGCGGATGAATGGATTGATGGACCGTTGGCATAAATAGCACAACGGACCAACCCTCGCGGACGGAAAATTAGACCAAGTATGCTTTCACGCTTATCTGTTTCTGTAGACAGAACGTGAACGGTGGTCGCATAGGATGGAACAGACTTGCTGGCTAGATAGAGGTGGCTGGTCCGTCCAACAGTGCAACAAAACATGGTCACAGAAACACCACGAGTGGAGTGACATAGAGTGTCTGTAGCTCGTCCGATATGAATCAACTGTTTCTGGGCTTACACCAACTATATAGAAGGGGAGAAAGACCACTGCACAGGGCGACTGTCACTTACAATTTCTCACGGGGCTGATTTTGTCATTAGCAGATTTGACAAACTAACCTTGCGGTTAGAATCATTGCCAGTGGCTTTTTGCTTCCGATTCCAGCGAGAACGAAGAGCATGGTTCCGACGGCCAAAAGCTGTAACTTTTTTTGTTTGTAATTCATGATTCTTAGTGAGGGAATGCAAGAGAGAGGAAAAATTGAGCTTACAGACTAATATCACGCTTATGCTGGTTCACATGCCGTTGAGGTAGTTCGAAATATTTACTGACAAAATTGTTTTATAGGAGAATACGATATGTAATAAGTATCCTAAGGGATCTCATTGAGGTCGTTCCCTAATCAGATAGAATGAAATGGACGAGAAAATATGGGAGAACGTGAAATGCGCGCGAACCAGTCGCTGATGACAGTGGTGGGGCCTTACCGGCCAAGTGTTTGCAGGACTCATCCCATCAATCGAAATGTATTTTCAAATAAGTTTTGCTCATATATATATA